CTCGCGCCAGGTCCCCCCCCGGTAGACCCCCTCCCCCCTCAGGGTCCTGCCCCCTCAGGTGTGTCCCAGGTAGACGCAGTCGATCCTGTCGAGGTAGCTGTTGACTCTGGTGCTGCTAGGGGTGCTGAGCCTGCGGGTGCGGGGTCTGGGGGTGCTGAGCCTGGGGGTGCTGACTCTGGGGGTGCTGAGACTGGGGGTGCTGAGTCTGGGGGTGCTGAGCCTGGGGTTGCTGAGCCTGGGGGTGCTGAGCCTGGGGGTGCGGAGCCTGGGGGTGCTGAGACTGCTCGTGTGGCGTCTGGAGGGACTGGGCCTGGAGGTCCTTCGGGTTCTTCGTCCCGGCGAGAGCTACTCTCTCCACAGGAGCTGCGCGAGTGGTTTGCTCGGCGCTGGAGCCGTGCTGCTGGAGCTGGAGGTGCTGCTGGTGCTGGAGGTTCTCCTACTTCTGAGGGTGCTGGTGCCACGGGTCCCGGAGGTGCTCGTACTGGAGGTACTAGAGCTGCTGGGCCTGTGGGTACTCATTGTGCTGGAGCTGCTGGAGGTGCTGGAGCTGGCGCTGGAGCTGCTAGGGGTGTTGGCGCTGGAGGTGCTGCTAATGCTGGTGCTTCTGAGGGTGCTGGAGCTGGTGCTGCTGCTGCTATTGGGGGTGCTGGTGCTGGAGCTGCTGGCGCTGCTAGAGCTGGGGGTGCTACTGGAGCTGGTGCTGCCGTTAGGGGTGCTGGTGCTGTTCCTGCTGGTTCTTGGGGTGCTGCACGGCCGCGACCGTACTTCGTTCCGCTCCTTGAGCAGGTTCTTGGTCTTCCGCCCTCTACTAGTCCTGCTCCTCTCTTAGAGTGTCCGCCGCCTGTCCAGTCCGAGTCACAGTTCCAGCCAGCCTCCCCACTGCCTGCTCCTTCTCCCTACACTGGTCCTACTGGAGGTCTTGCTGAGCGTCGTGAGCCTGCGTCTCGTCCTGCGTCACCTGTCCGTGCTGCTCGCACTAGTGGTCGTGGTTCGCGTCAGCGTCCTCCCACTGTCCCCGGCACGCACCGGATGTCTCTGCGTCCTTCCACTGCTCCGCTGCGTGCCCCTTTGCCTTCTCCTCCTGAGTCCTATCATCCTGCTCTTGCTGACCCAGAGTCGGACTCCCTTCGTGCTGCCAGTCCTACTGTCACGCGTCTCCTTGCTACTGTCGTCACTAACCCTTCCTTCGAGTCCACTGCTGCGTCTGCCTTAGTTGCTGAGCTTGTCGACTTTGCTGCTCGCTGTCGTCTAGACTACGCTGCTAGTCTTGTCGCTGAGTCTGGGTCTGTCTGTCCTCCGTCCGTCGGGGGTGAGTGTGCCCTTGGCACGGACGTCCTTGAGGACAGGCAGGAGGAGTTCCAGTGCTTTGCTGCTGCTTCACCTCATCTCGTGTCCATGCTGCTGGCCCCTGAGGGAGACCCGGATGCACCAGACATCCCGACTCCGCGCTCTTACGCGGAGGCGATAGAGGGTCCCTACTCCTCTCAGTGGCAGGCAGCCATGGACGCAGAGATGGCTTCCTGGAAGTCCACAGGCACCTACGTCGACGAGGCTCCCCCACCTGGGGCAAACATCGTCAGTGGCATGTGGATTTTCAGGGTGAATCGGCCCCCGGGTTCTCCGCCTGTCTTCAAGGCGCGTTACGTGGCTCGAGGCTTCAATCAGCGGCAGGGAGTTGACTACTTTCCGCCCTTCTCTCCCACCCCGAAGATGACCACTCTTCGGGTACTACTGCACATAGCCGCTCAGCGCGACTACGAGCTTCACTCTCTTGACTTCAGCACTGCTTTCCTACAGGGTAGCCTGCACGAGGAGATCTGGCTGCGCCGCCCACCTGGCTTCACTGGGTCTTTTCCTCCTGGCACCCAGTGGAGCCTCCGGCGGCCAGTCTACGGTCTCCGCCAGGCACCTCGTGAGTGGCACGACACACTGAGGACTACACTTGCGGCTCTTGGGTTTGCTCCTTCTACTGCCGACCCGTCGCTGTTTCTGCGCACCGACACCTCTCTGCCGCCGTTCTACATCCTCGTGTACGTCGACGACTTGGTCTTTGCCACAGCTGACACTGCTGGACTCGCCCACGTGAAGTCCGAGCTGCAGAAGAGGCACACGTGCACAGACCTGGGTGAACTGCGCAGCTACCTTGGCTTGCAGATCACCCGGGACAGAGCACAGCGCACCATTACCCTGACTCAGTCACACATGGTGCAGCAGGTCCTTCAGCGCTTCGGCTTCACGTACTCCTCGCCACAGGCCACTCCTCTGTCTACTCGCCACTCGCTCTCAGCTCTGCCTTCGGATGAGTCCGTAGAGCCGAGTGGCCCGTACCCAGAGCTTGTTGGCAGCCCTGATGACCTGCACACGACCTGACCTTGCATACCCTCTTAGCATTCTGGCACGCTATGTTGCTCCTGGGAGACACCTCCCTGAGCACATGGCTGCAGCGAAGAGGGTGTTGCGCTACTTGTGCAGTACGTCGGGCATGGGGCTAGTGCTTGGAGGGCGGAGTCCAGTGGTCCTCACTGGTCACGCAGACGCGTCTTGGGTTGACGACTTGGCTACGCAGCGGTCGTCACAGGGTTACACCTTCAGCCTTGGTTCCGGTTCTGTTTCGTGGCGGTCTACCCGCTCTTCTTCTGTTCTCAGCTCCAGCTGTGAGGCTGAGATCTACGCAGGGGCCATGGCTGCACAGGAGTTACGCTACCTGCTGACTGACCTCGGAGAGCAGCCTCGTTCTCCTCCAGTTCTGTACGTAGACAACAAGGCCATGCTGGCCTTGTGTCGTGAGCACAGACTGGAGCACAGAACGAAGCACATTGCTCTTCGCTACTTCCTTGCTCGTGAGCTGCAGCAGCGTGGTCAGCTGCGACTTGCTTACGTGGCCTCTCAGGCCAACACTGCTGATATCTTTACCAAGGCACTCGCGCCTTGTGATCATCAGCGCTTCTGTACTCTCTTAGGTCTTGTACCTACTTTGCCTCACTTGCTCACTTCTTGACCTTGCTTGTACTTTGACCTATATATACTTGCACTTGCATGTTTAACTTTATATATATATCTCTGCATGTGAACTGGCCTTGTGGCCCTTGAACTTGTGCTCAGAATGTGTGGTGACGTTGTGATCCACCCTGAGCTTGCTGTGCTTTGCTTGACTGGTCTTGTGACCCCTTGTTCTCCCCCACTTTGCCTATGGGGGTGTGTCAAACTTATATGCTATAGTCTTTCTAGGCTGTAGTGGGGTAGACAGTATGGGGTACAGCTTTCTAGGGTTTCATATTTGTACCCAACTCATTTCCTAGTTCATTCATTCTCGTTCTAAAGTTCTCACACGCACTTGAATATACCCGCCCTTGCCTCATTACGCACTTTGCCTCTCTCTGCCTTGCAGCATTCCGCCCTTGCATCTGTCCGCCTTGCTGCATTGAGTTTTTTGCCTCTGTCCGCCCCTCATCGTTCCGCATTTCCATATGTCCGCCTTTGCATCTGTCCGCCCTTTGCCCCATTCCGCCCTTGTCTATGTCGCCCTTGCCTCATTCCGCCCTTCCATCTGTCCGCCCCTTGCATCATCCGCCCTTGCTCTGGCCCAGGGTGTTGTGGAGATTTTTGGCCACCGTGACAATGCAGACGGCTTTCAGCTGTTTGCCCGTCCGGTTCACTCGGTGGCGGGACGCGACTATACAAGGCCAGAGTCTGGTATTCTGTGGGAAGCCGCACAGGTACGGATGGTGTGGCTGTGTTGTACCGGGGATGTAAGTAGTGATAGGCGCTAATGTTGTGACTAACTCCAACCGGCGTTTGGAACTTCTCACAGTCCGGTCCGCCCTGTTGCTTGATCCGCTTTTGTGTTCATCGGGTTACAGCTGCCAAGGTTGTGTTGCTAATTCAACTTCGCCATGCTTTGTTATTGGCAGGACGCCCTGGACGCTATCTATGGGCCGGGCCAGGTGGTGGCACCCATCATCATTTCAAGTGACGCAACGATTCTCAGTGGAAATGAGCGTGTGAAGGTCTGGGCGGTTTACCTTAGCATCGCCAACATCCACCTCCGACTCCGATGGGGGGATTCCGGGAAGATTCTGCTAGCACTACTCCCGATGCCTATACATGGGATGACGGCCGAGCAGAAGGTGCAACTCTTCCAAGCTGCGATGGAGGTGGTCCTCGCTGACCTGATTCTCGCATCACACACGTGAGTGCTCTACACCCATGGATCAGCCAATGCCTGCGTCCGCAATTCCCCTCTGTCCACCCTCGCTCTTAACCGCCCTTGCCTCTATTTTCTTTCATCCTTTGATCCCTTGCCTCTGTCCGCACTTGCCTATACCCGGCCTTGCCTTTTTCTTTCTTCATCCTTTGATTCCTAACCTCTGTCCGCACTTGTTTTTGCCTCTGATTTCCATCATTCTTGGATAATCTACCTCTGTCCGCACTTGCATATGCCCGCCCATGCCTCTATTTTACTTCATTCTGTTGTCCTCTGCCTCTGTCCGCACTTGCCTATACCCGCCCATGCCTCTATTTTCTTTCATCCTTTGATCCCTTGCCTCTGTCCGCACTTGCCTATACCCGCCCTTGCCTTTTTTTTACTTCATTCTGTGATCCTCAGCCTTTGTCCGCACTTGCCTATACCCGCCCGTGCCTCTAGTTTCCTTCATTCTTGGAGCCCTTGTCTCTGTCCGCACTTGAATATAGTCGCCCTTGCCCCCATTATCCATCATTGTTTGATCCCTGGTCTGTCCTGGCTGCCTCTCTCTCCGCACGTGCCTCTGGTGATGGGATTCTACTTGTTTTGACTAATTCACAACTCTGTGATTCTGTGCTGCAATCCACACAGGGGGATAGCGGCCCGGGATCCATGGGGGGTCGACAGGGTCATCTGGCCCATACTCTTCTCCTACGTGGCGGACTTCCCCGAAACCTGCAAGGTTTCGTGCACACAGCAGCATGGCAGTCAGATGCCGTGCTCCTTGTGCTATGTGGAGCGAGGGCAGCTCAGGAACATGACGGCGGAGGCTTCGGAGTCGCGGTCGGTGGAGCAGCAGTCATCACTGATTGCCAACCCTGCGCTCGCGAGGCAGTACTCCACTCTCTGTGTCGCGGTAGGTGCCTCCCATTGCACGCACTGTAGCCCGTGAGTGAGTGTCGTGCCACTTGGGCGCTGGTGCGGCCACCTCGTTTAACACACGTGGCTTGTGTGTGCTTCCTTGGTATTCTGTGGATGCAGTCGTTCCTCTGGGAGTGGAACTTCTCCCGTACGCTCTGGGGGAACACCTACCTATCGCAGATGCCGGATATTCTGCACATCATCTACCTTGGGTTCTGGCTGTACGTTCGCGCCGCACTGCGTGGACCCGAGGGACGCGCCGCCACCTTAGACGCGTAAGGCTGCCCTATGGATTGTGCACATGGTGGCGCAACCACAAGCGCGTGGTTGGACTGTGTAAAAAGCCCTTGGCCTTCTTACGCGCCGTTTCACATTCACCATGTTTTGTTTGTTGTTTCTGTCCCTAATCTGGTGTAGGCGACAAAATGCACTACACCCTGGTGCAAGGCTGGCGGGTCTGCTAACTCCTGGTGATGCAGCGTATTGGGTCTCCGGTGCCAACTTCACGGCGTCGGAGCACGCCGGCGTCATGATGGTGCGCGTTCCAGTCAAGTGGCTTGTCTTTCTACTGCGTATGTTTTCGTATTAGACTCCCCATTCGATGGTCAGATTGATATTGTGAACTGTGTGTACAACGCTGTGACAGATTGTACCTTTCGTGCTGGAGGGCGAAGTAGCGGTGATCAACAGCCGCACGATTGTCGCCTTCCTGGACTGGCACGAGACATTCGTGAGGGCAGCGGTGCACACAGATGAGAGCCTGAGCGCCTTCGACACTGCCACCCACAGGTACGCGGTGTAGACACTGTCATGGGTGTCCTTAGACTAGTGCTGGCCTCATTCAGCCCATGCCTAATTGAACCATGCCTCTGTCTGTAAAGCTTTCTGCATTACCTTATTTCTTTCTGCCCTGGTTTCTGATAAAACTTGTCTCGGTAAGCCCATGGGCTATTGACATGCCTCTGTCTGCCATGCTTTCTGCATTTCCTTGTTTCATTCCGCCTTAGTTTCTGATAACACTTGTCTCGGTAAGCACATGGGCCACTCAGCCCATGCCTCTGTCTGCCATGCTTTCTGCATTTCCTTGTTTCATTCCGCCCTGGTTTATGATAACACTAATATCGGTAAGCCCATGGGCCATTCAGCCCATGCCTCTGCCCGCCCTGGTGTCTTATCTTACCAGCCCAGCCTCTTTCCGCCCTTGCCCCATTCAGCCCATGCCTCTGTCCGGCACGCGTTCATAGACTTCCTTGTTTCTTTAAGCCCTGTTTTCTTATCTCCATTGCCGCTGTCCGCCCTGGCTCCTTATCTCAATGATTAACCTCCGAGAGATGTAACTCAAACGGTATGGCGGAATGTAGTCTAATGACAACCACAAATCCCACTTGTATCCATGCTTTCAGGATGGTGCAGTTGGTGGAGAGCACCTTCCCTCGCGAACACGCCGGATGGAACCTTGTGAAGGTGCACCTGCTGCTTCACCTCACGGAGGCGATTCGAAGGGGTGGGCTGCCTCGAGAGTACTCAGCAGCGGTGTACGAGAACGCACACATCCGTACCTGCAAGAGGCTGTACCGCAGGTCCAATCACCGAGACCTGATGCGGGCGATTGCGCAGCACAACACCAACACGGCTCTTCTGACCCGCCTCCCAACCAACCTCGAGGAAGATCGCCAGTACAACACGGCGATGCGCCGGGTAAGTGTGCATGTTTGCCTTTTGGATGTCTTGGAATGTTGTCCATGCAGTGATAGGCTAGTGAGGTGAGTGTTGAACGCGGGTGGTTGAACCCTGTGGATCGCCAGGCCTCTAACGACTTACTCTCCTCCATTGCATTTGCCCCCCGGCATGGCATGTGGCAGGCGATCGCCGCTGGTCTGCCCCAGCTGTGCCGCCAGCGATCCCGGATGCACAGTGCGATCAGCGACAGGGAGCAGGCGCCCCTGGACCTGTACGCGACGTACGATGCCGCGATCCCCGGAGGCATCGGGCCCTACGCCTACCTGACGCGCCTCTACGGCTACGTCTCTTTTCCAGCATGGGTAAGTGCGTGTGTCTGCTGGTACCATAACAACACCCATTATCTCACTCAACCCGTCGCTTGGTAACCAGTATTACTTTTCCCGCCCCGTCACATTTCACCTCTGCCACTGTCCCACTGCATTTCCTATCGGATCGCAAGTCCACATGGCAATGGGGATGTTTTTATGCTAAACGTTACGCCCATGCCTCTGTCCGCCATGGTTGCTGCATTTCCTTGTTTCGTTTCAAGAGCTGGTTTCTTATAACCCTTGCCTCTGTCAGCCCATGGCCCATTCAGCCCATGCCTCTGTCCGCCCTGGTTTCGTGTCTTCCTTGGTTCAGTCCGCCCTTGCCTCATTCAGCCCATGCCTCTATCCGCCCTGGTTTCGTATCTTCCTTGCTTCTCTCTGCCGTTGCCTCTGTCAGCCCATGGCCCATTCAGCACATGCCTCTGTCCGCCCTGGTTTCGTATCTTCCTTGCTTCTCTCTGCCCTTGCCTCTGTCAGCCCATGGCCCATTCAGCCCATGCCTCTGTCCGCCCTGGTTTCGTGTCTTCCTTGGTTCAGTCCGCCCTTGCCTCATTCAGCCCATGCCTCTATCCGCCCTGGTTTCGTATCTTCCTTGCTTCTCTCTGCCGTTGCCTCTGTCAGCCCATGGCCCATTCAGCACATGCCTCTGTCCGCCCTGGTTTCGTATCTTCCTTGCTTCTCTCTGCCCTTGCCTCTGTCAGCCCATGGCCCATTCAGCCCATGCCTCTGTCCGCCCTGGTTTCGTGTCTTCCTTGGTTCAGTCCGCCCTTGCCTCATTCAGCCCATGCCTCTGTCCGCCCTGGTTTCGTGTCTTCCTTGGTTCAGTCCGCCCTTGCCTCATTCAGCCCATGCCTCTGTCCGCCCTGGTTTTGTATCTTCCTTGCTTCTCTCTGCCCTTGCCTCTGTCCGCCCTTGCCTCATTCAGCCCATGCCTCTGTCCGCCCTGGTTTCGTGTCTTCCTTGGTTCAGTCCGCCCTTGCCTCATTCAGCACATGCCTCTGTCCGCCCTGGTTTCGTATCTTCCTTGCTTCTCTCTGCCGTTGCCTCTGTCAGCCCATGGCCCATTCAGCACATGCCTCTGTCCGCCCTGGTTTCGTATCTTCCTTGCTTCTCTCTGCCCTTGCCTCTGTCAGCCCATGGCCCATTCAGCCCATGCCTCTGTCCGCCCTGGTTTCGTGTCTTCCTTGGTTCAGTCCGCCCTTGCCTCATTCAGCCCATGCCTCTGTCCGCCCTGGTTTCGTGTCTTCCTTGGTTCAGTCCGCCCTTGCCTCATTCAGCCCATGCCTCTGTCCGCCCTGGTTTTGTATCTTCCTTGCTTCTCTCTGCCCTTGCCTCTGTCCGCCCTTGCCTCATTCAGCCCATGCCTCTGTCCGCCCTGGTTTCGTGTCTTCCTTGGTTCAGTCCGCCCTTGCCTCATTCAGCACATGCCTCTGTCCGCCCTGGTTTCGTATCTTCCTTGCTTCTCTCTGCCCTTGCCTCTGTCAGCCCATGGCCCATTCAGCCCATGCCTCTGTCCGCCCTGGTTTTGTGTCTTCCTTGGTTCAGTCCGCCCTTGCCTCATTCAGCCCATGCCTCTGTCCGCCCTGGTTTCGTATCTTCCTTGCTTCTCTCTGCCCTTGCCTCTGTCAGCCCATGGCCCATTCAGCCCATGCCTCTGTCCGCCCTGGTTTCGTGTCTTCCTTGGTTCAGTCCGCCCTTGCCTCATTCAGCACATGCCTCTGTCCGCCCTGGTTTCGTATCTTCCTTGCTTCTCTCTGCCGTTGCCTCTGTCAGCCCATGGCCCATTCAGCACATGCCTCTGTCCGCCCTGGTTTCGTATCTTCCTTGCTTCTCTCTGCCCTTGCCTCTGTCAGCCCATGGCCCATTCAGCCCATGCCTCTGTCCGCCCTGGTTTCGTGTCTTCCTTGGTTCAGTCCGCCCTTGCCTCATTCAGCCCATGCCTCTGTCCGCCCTGGTTTCGTGTCTTCCTTGGTTCAGTCCGCCCTTGCCTCATTCAGCCCATGCCTCTGTCCGCCCTGGTTTTGTATCTTCCTTGCTTCTCTCTGCCCTTGCCTCTGTCCGCCCTTGCCTCATTCAGCCCATGCCTCTGTCCGCCCTGGTTTCGTGTCTTCCTTGGTTCAGTCCGCCCTTGCCTCATTCAGCACATGCCTCTGTCCGCCCTGGTTTCGTATCTTCCTTGCTTCTCTCTGCCCTTGCCTCTGTCAGCCCATGGCCCATTCAGCCCATGCCTCTGTCCGCCCTGGTTTTGTGTCTTCCTTGGTTCAGTCCGCCCTTGCCTCATTCAGCCCATGCCTCTGTCCGCCCTGGTTTCGTATCTTCCTTGCTTCTCTCTGCCCTTGCCTCTGTCAGCCCATGGCCCATTCAGCCCATGCCTCTGTCCGCCCTGGTTTCGTGTCTTCCTTGGTTCAGTCCGCCCTTGCCTCATTCAGCCCATGCCTCTGTCCACCCTGGTTTTGTATCTTCATTGCTTCTCTCTGCCGTTGCCTCTGTCAGCCCATGGCCCATTCAGCCCATGCCTATGTCCGCCCTGGTTTCGTATCTTCATTGATTCTCTCTGCCGTTGCTTCTTTCAGCCCATGCCCTACCCTGACCATGCCTCTGCCCGCCATGGTTTCTGCATTTCATTGTCAAAGCCATCCCTGATCTCTCCTGCCCTCCTTACCCCTCTCTGGTGTATCAGGTCCACACGGCGCTGGCTCTGCCAGCCCGCGAGACGGACTACGGCCTGATCAGGCTGCACTATGTCCGCGCCAGCCCCTCGCACCATGGCGCTCCCGCCTTCTCGTTCATCGAATATGAGAACGGGAGCGGGGAGACCGTGCACGGCCGCGTGCACCTTCTCCTGACGCTGATGCTGAACAGCGAGGATGCACACCCCGCGGGAGAGGCCGTGGCATTTGTGAGGCAGTGGTACCCCTCCCAGGTGGACGAAGGCACTGGCTGCATGAGGATGCGGCCCTCCGATGACGAGCTGAGCTACGATCTCGTGCCGGTCATAGCCGTGCAGAGGACCGTGCACATGGTGGAGTCGTTTGTGACTCCTGGTCTCTGGTATCTGAACAGGTGGGCGGGCCGCTGCCGCGAGGAGTTGACCTAAGGCCGCCCTGGAAGCTGCAGAGGTTTCTTGTTGCCGGCACCCCGTGCCTGGAGTTGTTGCCACAGCGTGTTCCTGGTGTTTTGGGTGCGGCGCAGACGCACGACATGCAAGCACTAGATTGCATCTGTATTTTATATCTTTCCCTTTTGTAGGAAGGTGGGGGGTGATGTAGCAGTTGGGAGGCTTTGTATCCAGGAGACTTTGTAGCCTGGAGGCTTTTGATGTGTGGGTTTGTTGGTGTGTTAAATAAATGCTGTTTGTCCTCAATTTCAGTGTTATATCACAGGCTAAACACCATTCTTATACTTATATGGGAGGACTCATTACAATGAAGTGAACCATACCGGCTGCGCCCAACACACAACCCTATCGAACACACAATGTGAAAGGGGGTACATTGGTAGTAGCAACCATGGCAGTGCATACGCATTGCTAGGCCTGGAAAGAATGCTAGGGGATTGCACAGGGCTTTCTGGGCCATGACTGGCTCCGCATGGCTGCTAGATACGCCAAATATTGAAAGCATTTGGTCGTCCCATTTTTTGTGACGTCGGCGCCAGGCGCACTAGCGCCAAGGTCGCTGGCGCGACGGGCATTGGCGCTACAGGCGCTGGCCCTGAGTCTCTCGCTCCTATGGCGTCACGGCCGTTAGCGCCACGGACCCTGGCAGCATGTGCGCTGGGCCTACGGCGCTAATGGCTGTAAATGAATGCATGCATGCAACTCACGAGTTTTGCGGAGTTTATGAAAACGTTGAGCATGTGGAGGATTGCGGCCCCAATGTCGATCTTCGTCTGCACCGCTGCCTTGCTTAGATTGGTATCCATCGCAACATTGGATATCAACTAAAAATAGATGCTACTAATCGGCACGGGTGGAAACCCAAAACTTTGGATCTCACTCAGTAAGCTAAGGGATTGACGATCGTGAGTGAGTGGGAAGGGTGAGGCAGGTTGGGTTGGACTGGATTATGTGGGGCGCGTTTACATTCGCATTCAGGGTGGGGAGAGCTCCACAACAGTTCCAGCACAGTTTTATTGCCAGCAAGGCGAATCTACAGCAGTGCCAGCCCTCAATCTCGAGCCCACCGGAAGAAGCAGTGGGTGGGCAGAAAAGGCCAGAAACGGTTTGTTCAGAGGGGAAGTGTGTCAGATGGTATAACAAGAGGACACGTGTCGAAAACTTCGCCCAGCAGGACCAGTTTTGAACATACTTTGGGGAAGCGTGAGCGAAATTCCAGAAAGTAGTACCTTTTTAGTAAACCTGGGGCTAAATGTGAGAGAAACCTGAAACTAAGGATCTGGGACATAGCTTCCCAAGGGAAAAGGGATAGTCGACTACAGGTCGACCAAGGCTCAAATGCATAAAGTCGAAAAAATGCATGAACTTTACATACGCGCCAAAAGACACACGCCCTTACGCGTCACCTCTCTCGATTTTGCACGATCGATCGTCAAAAACCGATCTCCCACCGCACTCAAAACCTGGTTTTTACATTTACAAGTGTTTCAAACGTTTTCAACTCCGTAAGCATTCGATCCTGCGCAGGATCGTCGTTCAAAAACGAAAGAGGTGACGCGTCCTCAGAACGCCATCCAAAAAGAATTCCAAATTGAAACAAGGCAACAACCCAACCCTCAGAAATGAATCGACGGATTCAGAAGACCCCACGACCAGAGCGTGTTAGAATCTTATTATCCCCAAAAAACCTACCCAACCGTTTTGATTCGTTTTTTGTTTCGTAACTCCAGAACCGTTCTTCACCGGACAAAGATGGACACTTATTTCCCACAGTATTTTCTGAGGACGAAGGTACTGGCCTATTCCGGGCCGCGCCTAATTACCTGTCAAAAGTGCTTTCCTCTTCTCGGGAAGACCACCATATCGTCGGCTAGCCATTCTCATCCTGCAGGCATTGGAGTCGCGTCAATTAACTGGTCCATAAATAATGCCTCAGGTAAGATCAACGAGCTGGACGAATTTCGCACGATTTTCGCGAATCGTTCGGGACAGACATGGATCTTTATCTGAACAAGCTTATGACTACATGTTGCCGAACGTAATGACGAAATATTATAGTGGAGCATTTCGTCTGACAACGCACGCAGGCTTTACAGTGAGTCGTTTCGTGACCGTTCATATCTTCAACGATCGATCCGTGCCTGACATGCAGGTTCGGCAGCTGGTTCGGGGTACGGGCAGCGAGGCGACCGCGAGCGCGTGGAACGGATCGCGAACGCGATGGGCGGCCGGCACGGCGGACGGCGCGCTGCAGATCTGGGAGCGCTGCGACGACGGCGCGGAGCGCGGACCGCTGAGCCTTTCCGCGAGCTGGCAGCTGGGGGGAAGCGGCGGAGGGGAAAAAACAGGTGCGCGGATCGAAGGAGCTCGATCCAATTCGTTTAGATCAATATTTTAGGGGGCTGGGGGAAGGTGGAGGGGGGGAAAGGGGGAGGGGGTGGAAAGGAGGGAGTGAGGGAGAGGAGGCGGAACGAATGAACGGGGACGCGAGGAGTGAAGGGAAATGCATGAAGGAGATGTGCATGCAGCTGTGCCAGTGACCCTCCCGTCCCCTCTCCCTCCCGCCTTTCCCCATACCCCACTTCCCCCCAGCAGCAGCAGCAGCGCACGTGGTTTGGGCGCCACAGGAGTTCGGGGGAAAGCTGGCTGTGGCGTGCAGGGGGTGTAGCCGCGTGCAGGGGGGGTAGCCGCGTGCAGGGGGGGTAGCCGCGTGCAGGGGGGGTGCACGTGGGGTGGGCCTGTAGCATTTGGGCATCAAAACCCTCTACCCGCGGGTCGCCCTCCTTTTCCCTTCCCCCTTCTCCCCCGCTTGCCCCCAGCAGCAGCAGCAGCGCACGTGGTGTGGGCGCCACAGGAGTTCGGGGGAAAGCTGGCTGTGGCGTGCAGGGGGAATGCACCTTCTGTGGGCCCTGCAGCAGCTTGGAACAATGCCCTCTTCCCGCCCTTTCCATTTTCACCCTTCCCCACTTGCCCCAGCAGCAGCAGCAGCAGCAGCAGCAGCGCACGTGGTGTGGGCGCCGCAGGAGTTCGGGGGAAAGGTGGCTGTGGCGTGCAGGGGGAGCAGCCGCGTGCACATCTGGGGGGAGGTTGGGGGCGCGGGGGACGGGGAGGATGGGCGGAACAGGGCCAGGGGGGGAAACGGGGGGGATGGGGGGAGTGGAGGGAGTGGGGGCGGCAGGGAAGAGCGGAATGGGGAGGAGAGGAATAGAGAAGGCGGGCAAGACACTGAAATGGGAGGAGGAGGAGGGGGCGGAAGGGGAGGAGGGGCCGAAGCTGACCAATCAGGAGCAGGTGGAGGTAACCGGTGGAGGCAGGTGGCAGTGGTGGATGTGGGAAACATGCTGCTGAATTCTCTGAATGGGGCTGCTACTAATGGTAGTGCTGCTGCAGCTGCTCCCAGTGCTGCTGCTGCTGTGTTGGCTCTGGCGTTTGCACGCAGCACTTTCACCGACCCTCTGCTGCTGGTGAGACTGATTGCACTCCACTTGGTTCAGGTTTTTTTAGTGCGCGGTTTGGAGAAATCTCAAATATGACTTTGCCATCGTTGTCTGCTGCTGTTGCTGCTGTTGCTGGCAGGTGGCAGTGACATCGGAAGGGAGAATGGTGGTGCATCGCTGCAACGACTGCCTCGCCCTCTCTCATTGGTTGCTTGAGGTACTTCCATCCGTCCATCCATCTCCCTTCGTCGTTTGCCCTGTCCCCGTCTCCTCCTTATCCTCCTCTCTTCCTTCTCTCTCCCGCCTCCCACTTCCTCTCACACCAATCCGCCTTTTTATTCTCATCCTCATCCCTTCTCTTTTTGCGTGGCTATGTTCTGCCCTTCCATACCTCTTGAGTAGTTTCTGCTTTGCTGTATTCTTCTACGTATCGTGACGTGACACAAGCCCAGCTGGTGGGAAAAAAAAATGCTTACCTTTCTAAACCTATGCAGGCTGACGTGGCACTGTTTCCATACGCTGACGTCAGCATGGGCAAGGAGCTGCTGTCGCGTGCGATCATAGCCGTCCATCCGTCCACGCGTGCGTTCGGCCAATCACCAGCTGTAGCCATTGCCACGTGTGCAGCAGCAGGCAGCAGCAGCAGCAAGGGTGACAGCAACACTGCTAAGGTTTGTGTAGTACTAGAGACGGTCTGGGGAAACGAGCGCGTGAGACAAGGGAAACAAGTGAGTGAGGGCAGGGAAACAAGAGAGTGAGGGCAGGGAAACAAGAGAGTGAGGGCAGGGAAACAAGTGAGCTGGGGTAAGCGTTGTTTGTGCTGCCAGTAAACACAATATCGTGAGGCCTTTCGATCAGACCTGCTTGTTCTGTCTTTGTTTGTTGTGTCATTTCTCGGAATCTAGAATTTGTGTCCCTCACTCACTCCCTTAGCATCCCTTTTGCCTTCTCTCACGCCCTAAAGCTCCTGCTCACTCCCTCTCTCCCTTTATCTCCCACTCCAACTTGACCCATCCTATCGTCCATGCTGACAAATATGCACAGCGATTACTACATGTGCGGCCATTCTATAACGGGTTTTCTGCCTAACCTCTCACTCCCTGTCACTCTCTCTAACTCAGTGTCACTCCCTTCATTCCTCAACTATGCATGCATGCACACAGGTGTGGGTGCGCAGCGATCGCTACATGCACTGGCATGCCATAGCAGACCTCCTACCAGCCACCTCTGCTACCACAGTGGCCAATCAATCGTTGCCACCTGTCACGAGCATCGCTTGGGCGCCCACCCTAGACAGGCATGCCTCTCCTTGCCCTGTACGACTGTAGGAGAGTCATGGTTGACTGGTTGGTTGTCATTTGAGTCTAAATGTCAACTCAAAAGTCAAAAGTCAACTTTTTAGTCGACTCAAAAGTCAATTCAAAAGTCAAAAGTCAACTTTTGAGTCGACTCAAAAGTCAATTCAAAAGTCAAAAGTCAACTTTTGAGTCGACTCAGAAGTCAACTTGAGTGCCCACCCTAGACAGACATGCCTCTCCTTGCCTTGTATGACTGTAGGAGAGTCATGGTTAATTGGTTGGTTGGTTGTCATGGCTGGCTGAGTCGTGGTAGGAACGATTCCATGGTTTATTGGTCTTCATGTCACGGCTGTATGAGTGCAGTGCAGTGGAGACATGTATCCATGCATGGACCAGTTCATTGTGCTCTGCACCGCATTGCACCGCACTGCTCTGTGCCCTCGTGCATGCATAGCATAGCAGCCCATGCGTGCACGCATCCATGAAACCACTTCCACTCTCCTTTCTCATCTCTCGCAAGTCTCGTTTTCCACCCCTTCACCTCCTTTCGCTACGGCGCTCACCCAATCCTACCTAGGGGTTCTAAAAACAGCTCACATGCAGACAGACCTTTGCATGGGTTCACGTGTCTTAGCCTTCGAGTCGACTGAAGCACACCCAGTCGGACCTAGAAGCTCTTTAAACAGCTCACATACAGACAGACACATGCGTGTGTTACTGATGTCCTCTCTCCTCCCACCACCCATCCACCAATCTGGTCGCTTGTTGTCGCAGCTTCCTGTCCCATTCTTTCCTTGCCTTGCGTCTCCCTTCGACCTTTGAGAATTTTTAAAAGTAACACCAATATAGCTTGCCCTTCGTACTATCACCAAACCAGTTCCTGTCCCATTCTTTCCCCGTCCTAAGTCTCCAGGTGACTTTTGAGTCGACTCAAAAGTCACTATCACCAAACCAGTTCCTGTCCCATTCTTTCCCCGTCCTAAGTCTCCTCCAACCTCCCTCATTCCGCCTGAACCCCCCCTCCTCCTCCGTCCGTCTGTCAACCCTCCCCCATTCCCCATTCCAAACATAATCAGGCCTTTCGATGTCGTTGCCTTAGCTGCTGTCTCAATTGTTCATCTGGTCCGGATAGACTATCCCAACCAGCCTGGCTCGGCACAGCAGTTTTCTGAGCCTGATGAGCCACAAGATGACATGGGTATGGGAGACGTTACTGAGGCTGGGAGTTACCGTTCCAAGCCTTCCAGGGATGCAGTTCAGGTTCGGCATGTGGCTCGGTTGACCTCCTCCAGTTCCTCTCAGGTAAGACAGATCACCTACCCACCTCAAGGTTTTTTTCACCTGCATCTTTTCCCCTTTTGCTGAAAACTCTCTATTCTTTATGGTGGACGGTTGTAACTCTCTGTGAGGCTGGAATCGGCAGCTCCATAGCGGACCCATTTTGAATTCTGCCATTGTGTTGCGTGTGTGTTTTTCTTCTGCTTTTTTCCTTCCTTCCTTCCTTCCTTCCTTCCTTCCTTCCTTCCTTCCTTCCTTCCTTCCTTCCTTCCTTCCTTCCTTCCTTCCTTCCTTCCTTCCTTTCTTCCTTCCTTCCTTCCTTCCTTTCTTTCTTTCTTTCTTTCTTTCTTCCTTTCTTTCCTTCCTGTTGTAATTAAATTGAAAGCAAACAGCCAGCTGTCCTTTGATATACGTACGCTTCATACCGTCTATGTACTGTTATCTTCCATCTTTCCTCGTACTGCGAAACTCCCCGTCGATCCCTACAGGTGCATCAAGTTTCCTGGGACCTACTAGGCTGTAGCCTGGCAACAGTGGGAGCCGATGGTGTAGTAACGGTGTGGAAACAGAGTGCAATGGGAAAATGGGTCGGGCATCCTGTATACACTGCAAATTAGTGCCACCGGTACATGGTAGATGGTAGTTGTTGCAAGCAAGCATATCATCCTACCAATGCAATTCGAGCAATGAATTATCAGAAACTCTGTTATAATCTTCATGAAACATGTAAGTGACCTTCACTGTAGACATTTGTTAGCGGGTACCTACCTAGGTTGTCGCGTCAGCTGGTTCGGCATGCGTTCTCCCCCCGAACCACCTCGCCTCCGCACCTTTGGCTATCCTTTCGAGCCTCGCTACCCCGAGCCAAGGTCCTCGGCTAGCTCAACTCTGCCTATTTTACCTCGTTATTCACTCTTCAGTAGTAGTCTGTAGCTTGTGACCGAGTGCATTTCAGCTCACTTGTAAAACTCGCGTTCTCATAACAAAACTGGTTCACAACGGTCATATTTGAATCTGCGCCGCGAACAGCAGGGCTGAATATTAGGATTCTTTCTCTACGTCCGAGACTTGACAGACAACGCTTTTCTAAAAATCTCCGCATCTGACGCCGCTGTTGTCGATATTATTACGGTGTCAACGAACTGTAGGGGCCCTGAGTTTTAGGCTCGTCCCGGTGTTAGGCTCAGGAGTCAGGACACCACTATGGCACGAGCAGAGTTATTCCGGTATTTTTATACATAAAGCCGTACTTAGTTAAGCGCGACGGGAGGCGATGGCGAGCACGATGGAGGCGGCGCAGGCGGTACTGGCGGCGTTCGACACGTCGCTGTCGCGGCAGTGGCGCGACGAGGACCGCCGCTAAAGAATCATGGCGACTTTTGTGTCGACTCGAAATTCTCCAGCTACGCGACGAGTCGCGCGGAGGAAAAAAAGTGTCCTACTAGAAATTCCGTACCTCAACCATCTGTAGGGACTTTCGCATCAAGGTTAGGTTAGACTAAATAAAAGGTGTACTTAGCTAAGCGCGCGGGGCAGCCGTAGCGATGGCGAGCACGATGGAGGCGGCGCAGGCGGTTCTGGCGGCGTTCGACACGTCGCTGTCGCGGCAGTGGCGCGACGAGGACCGCCGCTGGCGCGCGGAGGACCGCGAGTGGCGCGCGGACGACCTGGCGTTCCGCGAGGAGGAGCGCCGATGGTTCGGGGAAGAGGCGGAAATGCGGAGCGCGGAAATAAGGTGGGGGGAACGGGGAGAGGGGTGGTCGGGGGAAGGGAGGAGGAAAAGGGGGGTGTGGGAGGTGGGGGATGGGCGGCGAAGTGGGTGGGGGGGCTTCGAGGGACGGTGAGGGGAGGGTGAGGAAGAGCGGTAGTGAGAAAGGGATGTGGATCAAATCTGGGTAAGTTTGTTCAGTGCTTCAGAGACACTCACTCTCTCACTCACACAAAGAATCACTCACTCACTTATGCACTCACTCACTCACGCGTTCACTCACCTCACTCATTCGCTCACCTACTCACTCACTTGATGTTCCTGTGTGTCTCATCTGCATTATCTGTTTGCCTTTTGGTGCATTCATGAATTCGGTCATTAGATTTTGAAATGTGCTGTACATACATGCTATGCTATATCGTTTACCACTTATGTACTGTACGATAAGTGTTGGGCACTGTGCACTGTGTGCTCTGTACCCTGCATTGCTGCTGGCATCAGGTGGAGGGAGGAAGACATAAACCAACGCCACGTGGACAATGCAAGATACCTTTGGGCCAGGTACAACGTGCTGTAGAATCAGGAGCAATCCCAGGTATAGAGGCAGGAATAGCCAGGTGAAGTCAGGTAAACCCAGGTGAAATCAGGTAAAACCAGGTGAACGGTAGGAGTCGGGTGAACATGGCAAGTACTACAGCTGTGGTGAGCGTTAGACGCAGGTGAGCTTTGTGTGGCTGTGCTTCAACCACAACGCATGTCTTTAGCCAGGCATTCAGTCAGGAATTTAGTCAGGTATTCCGTCAGCCATTCAGTCAACCACTTCATACAGTTGACCCCAGGCAGGTACTGCTGTATCTCAAGTTCCTTTTTTTTCCCTCTTTCCCCAACCCCCCCTCCCTTAGCAGGTTTGTCAGGAATAACCGGCGGGACGTGGAGGAGTGGGCAGAGCAGTTCAAGGCGATGTTGACCCTCTCATCCACCCTCTCATTCCCATCTTCCTTCCTTCTCCTCTTTCTCGTGCTGTATCTACACCATACTCCCCCCTATGCCATGTGATTAGGCGAGCAGCAGTCTAAAAGAAATCTTTAGCAAAGGATTAACAGGACAATCTGTTGTTGTTCCTGCTAAAAACAAGGAGTTTCAAGAAATTTGACTCGAAATTCCACTCAAAGATTAAAACGAGGCAAACTAGTTTCGGTGGACGGGACAGGCCCCAATCACACCTTCATCAGTGCAAGTGGAAATCATCATCCTTCCTTCTCCTCTTTCTTGTGCTGTATCCACACCATACTCCCCCGGGTCACTGGTCATGAAGAAGAGCTGCAGCGTGAAGGATCCCTGCTGATCCACCCGACGCGTGCTGTATCTACACCATACTCCCCCCTCTCGTTCTTCCCTTGGCAGGTTTGTCGAGAAGAACCGGCGGGATGTGGAGGAGAAATCGGAGCAGCTTAAAGCGATTTCGAACCTTGCAGCACTGTTTGCTGGCTTCGCTGTAGTCACACTCACGCAGTTCCAAGTCACCCTCGACACCTCCCCTTTGGTAAGTCTATCTTGGTTCAATAAAAGCACCCACAGCTATAGTCACACTCGTTCTCTCACTCCGTTTCTTCCTAGCCACGTTAGTCAGCTTCCAACCTTTAACGCTCCCCTCCCCCGTTTCTTAAGCCAACCCCACATTTTCTCACGCTCACTCAGGTTCTAAGTCATAGTGGAGACCTCCCAAGTGGTCAGGCTTTGATCGCAGCGCTCACTGGTGTGGCCCTTGTTCTTCGCAATTTGTGAATGCCACCTGATCTTTCAACCTTCCTTCTTCCCTCCGTCCCTCCCTCCCTCCGTCCCTCTCACTGTTCGTCCTCACTGCAACTGTGCTGTGCTGTGCTGTGCTGTGGGCTCCTGTTCTTCTCATTCTCCTCCCTTCACCAATCTCCGCCCATCCTTCTCTCCCCGGCGCCCACCCCTAACTGTGGAACATCGCTCTATACCGCATCCTCACTGCCATCTCGGTGAGTGGCTCGCCTTTCACCAGTTGCATCAAACAGGTGTGTTGTTTGGCGACACGACACGCACGCACACAGGCACACACACTTGCCCACCCCTAACAGTGGAACATCGCTCTATACGGCATCCTCACTGCCATCTCGGTGAGTGGCTCGCCTTTCACCAGTTGCATCAAACAGGTGTGTTGTCTGGCGACACGACACGCACGCACACAGGCACACACACCTGCCCACCCCTAACTGTGGAACATCGCTCTATACGGCATCCTCACTGCCATCTCGGTGAGTGGCTCGCCTTTCACCAGTTGCATCAAACATGTGTGTTGTCTGGCGACACGACACGCACGCACACAGGCACACACACCTGCCCACCCCTAACTGTGGAACATCGCTCTATACGGCATCCTCACTGCCATCTCGGTGAGTGGCTCGCCTTTCACCAGTTGCATCAAACAGGTGTGTTGTCTGGCGACACGACACGCACGCACACAGGCACACACACCTGCCCACCCCTAACAGTGGAACATCGCTCTATACGGCATCCTCACTGCCATCTCAGTGAGTCTCCCTCCTTCCCAGTTGCATTAAGCAGGCCCGTTCTGAGGTGACTCAGGTCACACACACGCAGGCCTGCTCCCTGCTCACTGCCGCCTGCTGCCTGCCTGCCTGCCTGCTTTCTCTCCTCCCGTCTCGCCCCGCCCTGTCAGGTGTGTCTACACACGGTGGCCATGGTGCAGTGCACGCTCATCATGGGCAGTGGAGGGAGGGCGAGGGGTGCACTGATACTCTACTGCCTGCTGCCTGCCTGCTTCTCTACTCCCCTCTCCCTACTCCCACTTCAGGTCTGCCTGCACACAGTGGCCATGGTGCAGTGCACGCTCATCATGGGCAGCATATTGAACAATGGCAAGGCCTACGTGGACGAGGACGCCGAGGAGGAGTTCATGTTCCGCTGCCTGCTCTTCGTGCGCTCCTTCTCATTGGGAGACAGGCCTCCCGCACCACGTCGCACGTTTGAGGCTTTCTGGGAGTACAGGTGAGCCTGGTGGGGGGATGTACACGTATAGGCGTTACCTAAAGGAGCACTTCATGTTCCGTTGCCTGCTCTTCCTGCGCTCCTTCTCGCTCGGGGACCGCCCTCCTGCGCCGCGGCGCACCTTTGAGGCCTTTTGGGAGTACAGGTGAGTGAGGCTATTGAAAGGTAGGGATGTTGCACAGGTGTTACCTGGTGGAGCTTCATGTGTGTTTTGAGGCGCCTCAAAACACACCTCGATGTTGCACAGGCGTTACCTGGTTGAGTGGAGGTACATGTGCGGTTCCGCTGCCTGCTCTTTGTGCCCTGCTTCGTGTGCTCCTTCTCGCTCGGGAACCGCCCTCCCGCGCACCGACGCATGTTTGAAGCTTTTTGGGAGTACAGGTGAGTACTTGGTGGGTTGTTGGTGGACAGGTGGGTATTTGCGTCTCACAGGCACGGTCTATTTGCATGTCACAAGGACTTGCACGACGTTACGTTATCAGGGTGTTGCGTGTCACAGGCATGGTCTAAGTGATAACTCTTTTTTCTTCGTTTGGATTCTAATTCATTCTTGCAATCTGGCATGGTGCGGCAATTTGCGTTGCGGCATGATATGGGAACTGTGTGGGATGGCACGGGATCGGATGGGATGGCATGGCATGGCATACACATGTGTCAAACCCATTAAGGTGTGAAGATGACTGGCGCAAGGCATTCAACTACTTCACATGGGGTACGTTTGACCTTACAGACCCAATATCAAAAGGAGATGGGTAGGGGAGCCTTAGTAGGCAATGCATGTTAGTAACACATATCACCTAGCCCCTTCAACCTCCAAGGGTGTGAAGATGACTGGCGCAAGGCATTCAACTACTTCACATGGGGTACGTTTGACCTTACAGACCCAATACCAGATGGATAGGGTATGCTTTAGTCTAGTATGGCATGTATATGTATGACCCAGCCCCTTCACTCTCCAAGGTGTAAAGATGACTGGCGCAAGGCATTCAACTACTTCACATGGGGTACGTTTGACCTTACAGACCCAATACCAGATGGATAGGGTATGCTTTAGTCTAGTATGGCATGTATATGTATGACCCAGCCCCTTCACTCTCCAAGGTGTAAAGATGACTGGCGCAAGGCATTCAACTACTTCACATGGGGTACGTTTGACCTTACAGACCCAATACCAGATGGATAGGGTATGCTTTAGTCTAGTATGGCATGTATATGTATGACCCAGCCCCTTCACTCTCCAAGGTGTAAAGATGACTGGCGCAAGGCATTCAACTACTTCACATGGGGTACGTTTGACCTTACAGACCCAATACCAGATGGATAGGGTATGCTTTAGTCTAGTATGGCATGTATATGTATGACCCAGCCCCTTCACTCTCCAAGGTGTAAAGATGACTGGCGCAAGGCATTCAACTACTTCACATGGGGTACGTTTGACCTTACAGACCCAATACCAGATGGATAGGGTATGCTTTAGTCTAGTATGGCATGTATATGTATGACCCAGCCCCTTCACTCTCCAAGGTGTAAAGATGACTGGCGCAAGGCATTCAACTACTTCACATGGGGTACGTTTGACCTTACAGACCCAATACCAGATGGATAGGGTATGCTTTAGTCTAGTATGGCATGTATATGTATGACCCAGCCCCTTCACTCTCCAAGGTGTAAAGATGACTGGCGCAAGGCATTCAACTACTTCACATGGGGTACGTTTGACCTTACAGACCCAATACCAGATGGATAGGGTATGCTTTAGTCTAGTATGGCATGTATATGTATGACCCAGCCCCTTCACTCTCCAAGGTGTAAAGATGACTGGCGCAAGGCATTCAACTACTTCACATGGGGTACGTTTGACCTTACAGACCCAATACCAGATGGATAGGGTATGCTTTAGTCTAGTATGGCATGTATATGTATGACCCAGCCCCTTCACTCTCCAAGGTGTAAAGATGACTGGCGCAAGGCATTCAACTACTTCACATGGGGTACGTTTGACCTTACAGACCCAATACCAGATGGATAGGGTATGCTTTAGTCTAGTATGGCATGTATATGTATGACCCAGCCCCTTCACTCTCCAAGGTGTAAAGATGACTGGCGCAAGGCATTCAACTACTTCACATGGGGTACGTTTGACCTTACAGACCCAATACCAGATGGATAGGGTATGCTTTAGTCTAGTATGGCATGTATATGTATGACCCAGCCCCTTCACTCTCCAAGGTGTAAAGATGACTGGCGCAAGGCATTCAACTACTTCACATGGGGTACGTTTGACCTTACAGACCCAATACCAGATGGATAGGGTATGCTTTAGTCTAGTATGGCATGTATATGTATGACCCAGCCCCTTCACTCTCCAAGGTGTAAAGATGACTGGCGCAAGGCATTCAACTACTTCACATGGGGTATGTCACTGTCTACCCACACGCATTCCCAATACGAAGTGGGTAGGGTATGCTTGAGTGCAGCATGGCACGAGCATGTTTCATGTATCACCCAATCCCATCGAACCCTTCAAACTGTGAAGATGACTGGCGGCGCAAGGCATTCAACTACTTGATAAAAGAGATGTTTGAGACGTCTCAAAACATCTCTTTTATCAGGTGGCGCAAGGCATTCAACTACTTCACATGGGGTACAATTGTGGCTTAGTTCGCTGTCAAGACAAAATGTGGCTAATTTTCATTGCAGCATCACACCTTTCCACTGATGCCCATCCTTTGACTTGTTTGACAGTCTTTTGACTAACATTGAAGCACTTTGGCCAGCTTTGGCCCAATCCAATAAATTTCCTCATCTTGGCCATTGCTACACCTTCCACATAGTTTTTTTCACTTAATGCTGCCTGCCCCTTCACTTCCTGTCCTCCAATCAATGCCACCCCATCTTTTCCTTCTGTCAGGAATCTTTTCATTCCTTCTCAGCCTCATTCCTATCGGGTAAGCTGTTGGAACTAATCTAGAGGTGCGGCAGGGGGGATCTTATCTCCTCCTAGGCTGTTACACCGCAATTCGGAACTAGACTTCTGTGCAACCAGACATTTTAGTCACACAGTTCCTATCATTGAGAACAAAGAACGGTATAGCAAATAGAGAAGAAGGAACAGGAGATGTAGTATAAGGTACACAACGGAGACTAACATTGCACTTGTATCAGCTACTCCACTGGTTCCCAGTCATATGTCAGCAAATTCATGGCTTTACAATTGTAGTCACGGCTTATCAATTGTAGTCACGGCTTATCAATTGTAGTCCAGAGGCGGTACAGAGCGGGTGAGCCTACAAATAGGCTTATCCTTGCTCTTGACTTCCTGTGTGTAACGTCGTTATTGAGTCCACTTAGAAGTCAACTTAAGATTTTTTTCATAACTTTCAAGCATCTGGAGTCCACGTAAAGGCCAAACTGTATAAAATCCCCTCTGCGAACCCACTCTTCCCCTGGCTGGATATTTTTGAAAATTCTCAAAAACAACCTACATGATCAAGGCTGCCCTCTTTTCCCAACATTGGGGCCACTTTTGAGAATACCTCTCACTGGGTTCACTCGATTCGTGACCCCAACACCGCTGCTCCAACTCTGTTCCCTACATTTCCACCCTCTGCCCCTACCGCCAACTTCGTCCGCTTTACCCCCAATTTGCTCATCTCCCCAACTCCCCCGCTTGCCCTCCTCTCCCCTCCTACTTCCAGGTGGATTAAATTCAACTTCTCAACCGTCATCCCAGCAGCGTTCACCGCCATTGTCATGTGCTCCATGGTGCTGTGGTGAGTGGTGAAGCGTCTCGGAAGCCGTGCCCCCATGTCCTCATCAGCCCCCCATGTCCTCATCAGCCCCCCATGTCCTCATCAGCCCCACATGGGAGCAGCGTTCACCGCTCTTGCCATCTGCTCCATGATTCTGTGGTGAGTGGTGCAGGGTGTATCTGAGGGGAAGGCTGTATCTGGAGCAAGCTGATGTGAGTGTTGTGCTCCGTGGTGCTCTGGTGATTGCTGGAAGGTCTTATAAAGCGGCCATGAGATGAGATGAGTGCCGTGCCCTTTAGAGCCCCACATGGGAGCAGCGTTCACCGCCATTGTCATCTGCTCCACGGTGCTGTGGTGAGTATTTAAGAATTTTCACAAGTCACACGCCTCGTCCCTGTGGTGTGGTGGCAGTCATGCTCTGTCTGCGCACATTAGGTGTTTCGGCCAGATTGACCCGTGTGGACTGCTCATTCCCCCCCATGACTTGTGAGGTGCGTCAAAGCGCATTCCGCGCCATGTCTTGCTGATCATTCCCATACGGACACACCGTCTGCTCTGGCATCAGAGAAAAGTAGATTTGACCCAGATCACCAGACTTAGCTCGTTCTAGTCTCCACTGCTCCGGCATCAGAGAAAAGTAGATTTGACCCAGATCACCAGACTTAGCTCGTTCTAGTCTCCACTGCTCTGGCATCAACTCCCTGTGCCTTTTGAGTCGACTCAAAAGGTGATTATTGACTTTTGAGTCGACTCAAAAGGTGATTATTGGCTTTTGAGTGGACTCAAAAGGTGATTATTGGCTTTTGAGTCGACTCATAAGGTGATTATTGGCCTTTGAGTTGACTCAAAAGTCACCTCTTTCCCATAGGGACTCACCCTCTGCTCTGGCATCAACCCCCTCTTCCTTTTCCCCAATGGCTCACACTCACAACCTTCCCAGGACATAATCATTCCCCCCATCTAACATGCTTTTTTTGTTTTCTCACTCTTCCTTCTCATGTCACCACCCCTCCGCTTTCGCCCTCCCAGGGCGTACCAGCAGCTGTCATGGGGCGCCTATCTCACCAACGGTTGCCAGTTTCATTCACTTCAACTACCAAGGCAACTAAGTCTGCATAGCTTCCCCTCTCATCTCCCCTTCCCCCCATCCTTACCATCCCCCCAGGGCGTATCAGCAGCTGTCATGGGGCGCCTATCTCACCAAGGGCCGCCGCCAGTTCGACTCGCTGCTCTCCGAAGCCGAGGCCTTCCGAGTGCGCCCCTCGGGTCTCCCCTTTGACTGGCACATCGCTGCGGTTTCCCTCTTGTCTTGACCACCCCATTCCCATCCCCCCAGGGCGTATCAGCAGCTGTCATGGGGCGCCTATCTCACCAAAGGACACTGCCTTTTCAGCTCAACCACCAAGGCGACTCAACCGGCTAACCTGCTTCCCACCTCGTCTCCCCATACCCACCACCATCCCCCCAGGGCGTATCAGCAGCTGTCATGGGGCGCGTATCTCACCAAGGGCCGCCGCCAGTTCGACTCGCTGCTCTCCGAAGCCGAGGCCTTCCGAGTGCGCCCCTCGGGTCTCCCCTTCGACTGGCACATCGCCCCGGAAGCTTCCCGGAAGCGCAGCTCCTCGCGGAGAAGCCGGAGCGGGAGAGAGGGTGGGTCAAGCGATGCTGCTTCCACGGCTTTTGCAGACGGTGATGCTGGTCAGGAGTTGAAGCCTGGTTCGGGATTGGAGAACACGGATGGTAAGGCGCCCCGAACCTCGGCTTCTGGTTCGGGGAATGGGAATGTGAAGGCATCAGAGGATGGGGCTTCGGGTCTTGGGAGCAGTGGTGAGAAGGTTGGTCAAGGGCAGGGGGGTAAGAAAGTGGAGGAGGAGGGTGAGAGGGCAAGTATGAATGGAGGAATGGATAGTACTTGCAGAGAGAGGCGTGAACCTGGCCAAGAGGATTGTTTGATTGGTGGTGATAGTGGTGGTGGTGGCGGTGGTGGTGATAGTATTGATGTTGGTGATTCGGGTTTGTCGTTGGCTGGTGGTGGGAATGTGCCTCGTGCTGCGGTTGCGAGTAAAACAAAGAAGGCCAGCAGCAGGGTTAGCAGTTGCGAGATCAGTGAGGTGCAGGAGTGACGTGCATAAAGTAATTGTACCACTGTCAAGCTCACGTATGTATGGAGTGTATCGGCAAGCTGTACTTTATGCCGTATGTTATAATGGTGTGTTATAATGTTATGCCATATGAAGATTGGCAAGCCAGATAGAAAAGGAGGCTGGTGGTGGTATTCCCATCCATCCTCACAGAGAACGACATAAAGGGCCGATCACATTATAAGGACGCACGTTGTTACAGTTGGTTGGATCGCTGTATCAAAACATATAAAGGCGGATGGATTGCTGCCAAAAACTTTCACATTATCCAGCTGCTACTCACTGTTGTTGCTTGCACGTTACCTCCACATCTCTCCAATCCAAACCTTATACTCGTGCCAGGATGACTCAACTATTCACTTCAGGCCGTTAAAGTAGCCTTAGTAACTTAGGTCTAGGAGGCTAGGCTTAGTGTCGAGAGTAACATGACGAGGGGAATTGAGAAGGGATGGGTGAACTAGGAATGAGGGGGATACAGATGTGTAACTCTAGAGTTGTATCCCCTCTAAGGGAAGCCCCACTACAGCCTACACAAAACATATAATGTTTGACACACCCCCATAGGCAAAGTGGGCGATAGCTAACATAACTAGCGGTCACAAGACCAGTCACGCAAGAGAATAAAGCAAAGCAAAACTCAGGGTGGACCTCAAGGATACCACACAGTCCGAGCACAAGCAAACGGCCACAAGGCCAGTTCACATGTAGAGTTATAATAGCAAGGCACTACATTGATCACAACCTGGCAAGTGTAAACATGCAGGTAGAAGCATATGTATAAGTGTACAACAAGTGCAAGACAAGATCAAGAGACAAGCAGGTGAGGCAGCGTGGGCATAAGCCTAAGAGCAGTGCAAAAGCGCTGATGATCACTAGACCCAAGGGCCTTGGTGAAGACATCAGCAATGTTGGCCCGAAAGGCCACGTAGGAAAGGCGAAGCTGACCACACTGCTGCAGCTCGCAAGCAAGAAAGTAGTGAAGAGAAATGTGCTTCGTTCTGTGCTCCAGTCTCTGCTCGCGACACAAATCAAACATGGCCTTGTTGTCGACGTACAGAACTGGAGGAGAACGAGGCCACTCCCCCAAGTCGGTCAACAGGAAGGCCAGCAAGCGTAGCTCCTGTGCAGCCATAGCCCCAGCGTAGATCTCGGCCTCACAGTTAAAACCAAGCACAGAAGACGAACAAGTAGACCTCCACGAGATAGAACGAGAACCAAGACTGAATGTGTAACCCTGTGACGATCGCTGAGTCGCCTGGTCGTCGGCCCAGGAAGCGTCAGAGTGCCCTGTGAGAACCACTGAATCCCGTCCTCCAAACACGAGCCTGATGCCCGATGTACTGCACAAGTAACGCAGTACCCTCTTCACAGCATCCCAGTACACCTTTCAGTGTCTACCAAGAGCCACGTAGCGAGCCAGGAGGCTGAGAGGGTACGCGAGGTCTGGTCGCGTACATGTCATTAGGTACATGAGGCAACCCACAAGCTCTGGATACGGACCACTCGGCTCTACAGACTCGTCGGAAGGTGGAGCTGAGAGCGAGTGGCCTGTAGGCAGAGGAGTGGGCTGTGGCGTGGAGAACTTGAAGTTGAAGCGTTGAAAGACCTAGTGCACCATGTGTGACTGCGTCAGGGTGATGGTGCACCGTGCTCTGTCCCGGGTGATCTTTAAGCAAAGATAACTCCGCAGCTCACCAAGGTCAGTGCAGGTGTGTTTCTCCTACAGCTCTGTCTTCACTAGGGTCAGTGCCTCAGTGTCAGCAGTAGCAGAAACCAAGTAGTCAACGTACATGAGGACGTAGAATGGCGGCAGAGAAGTGTCGGTGCGTAGAAACAGCAACGGGTCAGCAGAGTAAGGAGCAAACCCAAGAGCCGCAAGTGTCATCCTCAGTGTGTCATGCCACTCGCGAGGCGCCTGACGGAGACTGTAGATTGGCCGTCGAAGGCTCCACTGGGTACCCGTAGAAAACGACCCAGTGAAGCCAGGTGGGCGGCGCAGTCAGATCTTCTCGTGAAGGCTGCCCTGAAAGAAAGCTGTGCTGAAGTCAAGAGAGTGCATCTCGTAGTCACACTGTGCTGCAACGTGCAGCAACACCCGAAGAGTAGTCATCTTCGGGGTGGGGGAAAAGGTTGGGAAGAAGTCGACCCCCTGTCGCTGACTGAAGCTTCGAGCAACGTAACGCGCCTTGAAGGTAGGCGGAGAGCCCGGCGGCCGCTTCACTCTGAAAATCCACATGCCATCGACTATGTTCGCCTCAGGAGGAGGAACCTTGTCGACGTAGGTGCCTGTGGAAGAAGCCATCTCTGCGTCCATGGCTGTCTGCCACTGAGAGGAGTATTCACCCGCGATCGCCTCAGCGTAAGAGCGCGGGGTAGGGATGTCAAGAGCATTCGGGTCTCCCTCAGGGCAAAGCAGCATGCATGTGAAACGTGGTAAAGTGGCTGCAAGATACTCAAGCTCAAACTGCCTGTCCTCAAGGACGTCACCGCCAAGGGCAGGCTCACCCCCGACTGACGGAGGACAGACAGGCTCAGACTCAGTAACAAGACTCGTGACGTAGTCAAGATGACTCCTAGTAGCAAAGTCTACTAGCTCAGTGACTAGGGCAAACGTAGCAGAAGACTCAAAGTTAGGGTCAGTGACTGCAGTAGCGAGGAGATGAGTGACAGCAGGACTGGCAGCACGAGCAAGGTCGAACTCAGGGTCAGGCACATCAGGAAGAGAGGACGCCGGAGGATATGGCAGGGCAACACGCTGTGGAACACAGGAAGGACGAAGTGCCATAGCGTGAGTGCCTGGGAGAGCAAGAGGACGAAGACAGGCGACACGACGAGCACGAACAGGTATGGAGGCACGAGACGTAGGCTCACGATGCTCAGTCAGGGAGTCTGGCAGCTCAGTGTAGGGAGAAGGAGTAGGCGGTGGGGAGCCAGGTGGCAACTGCGATTGAGACGAGCCAGACGGTGGACACAGGAGAGGTGGAGTGAGGCCAGTGGAAGATGGGAGACTAAGAACCTGGCGAAGGGCCGAGGCAGGCGGTGGCAGGGACGATTGCTGCTGCGGGTAAAAAAACGGTGAGCGCGGCGCAGTACCCGGACCGTCAGCAGCTCCAGCACCTCCAGTACCTCCAGCTCTAGCACCTCCAGTAGCACCTCCAGCACCAGCAGTACCACTAGCTCCGGCAGCTCGAGCACCTCTAGTACCTCCAGTACCTCCAGCTCCAGCGCCTCAAGCACCAGCAGCACCTCCAGCACCCCCAGCACCAGCAGCACCACCAGCTCCGCCAGCTACAGCACCTCTAGTACGAGCACCTCCAGGACCAGCAGCTCCAGCACGTCCAGGACCTCCAGCACCTCCAGCTCCAGCGCCTCTGGCACCAGTAGTACCTCCAGCACCTCCAGCACCAGCAGCTTCAGTAGTACCTCCAGCACCAGCAGCACCTCCAGCACCTCCAGCACCAGCAGCTCCGGCACCTGCAGCACCTCCAGCAGTACCTCCAGCACCAGCAGCTCTAGCACCTCCAGCAGTACCTCCAGCACCAACAGCTCCAGCACTAGCAGCACCTCCAGCAGTACCTCCAGCACCAGCAGCTCCAGCGTCTAGGAAACTCCAAGCTCCAGCACCAGAGCGGCCTTGCCGAACGACCCACTCACGAAGCAGTTGTGCTGAGGGCATCTCGAGTCAGCTAGGCGGCTGCTGCTGTCCAACGCCAGGACTTGCAGTAGGAGCACCCACGGCCCCACCACCACTAGGACTCGCACCACCCCCAAATTCAACACCCCCAGAGTCAGCACCCCCAGAACCCTCACCCCTAGTCTCAGCACCCCCAGTCTCAGCACCCCCAGAACCCTCACCCCCAGTGTCACCACCCCCAGTGTCCACAGCTACAGGCTGCAGAGGCGGCGAAGGAGGTCGAGGCGGAAAACAAGGAGGGGTCTCCAAGCGTGGAGAGCGGAGAGTGGCCGCCGTGTCGTCACCGGCGGGGTCACCCCCCTCAGCAGGGCCAGAGGAGTTAGAAGAGATCTCTAGAGGCTCAACAAAGAAGGGTGGGTCTACCTGAGACACACCTGAGGAGTAGGACCCTGTGGGGGGAGAGGGGGTCTATCGAGGGGGGAACTGGTACCAGGAAGAGTGGCGCCAAGGGGACCGGGTGGGACGCATGCTGGTGGAGCCTATAGAAACAGACGGACTCGTCAAAGGTGGCCGCCTGGGAGGACAAGACTCGACGCGTGCGAGGGAAGTAAAACTGCCATGGCGGGGCATCAGTGGGGAAGCCCAGGAAGGCGCAGCGGAAAGTGCAAGGAGAGAGCTTGCTCGCGGTGGTATTACAAACAAGGGAGAGCGCGCCCCAGACCCGAAACGCCGACGCATCGCCAACCTTTCCCGTCCAACAGAGTGTGGTCGAGGTCTCTGGCAACGAGACACGGGGCCAAAGGTTGAGCTGATGCGCGGTATATTGGACCGCAAACGGCCACAGAAAATGGGGAGCAGCCGCATGGATCATGGAGGTACGAGCAACCTCCATGATCAAGCCAATGCGACGCTCAACAATCCCATTTTGTTGCGGAGAGGCCGGAAGCATGAACGACTGGCGGATGCCCTCGTTTCGACAGAACTTCGCAAGGACGCCGGAAGAGAACCCACCACCCCTGTCAGAGTGCAGACGCAGGACTGAAAGGCCCGCCAGATCCAGGGGATCATTACACCGCTGACGTCCGCCTTGCTGCACAAGGGGAAGACGGTTGCATAGCACATGTAGTTGTCAACGACCAGCAGGAAGTGGCACTCCTGGTTCATCCCACTGATGGGGGCAAGGCCCCACACATCCATGTGGAGAGTCTGCAGAGGAGCAGTAGTCGGAGGGGCAGGCGAGCGTGAGAGGGGGGGCAAGGACCTGGGGAGGCCAGGGACAAGGAGACGGGAGTGCATGCTGCGGAGACGCGGAAGAGAGGGATGACCGAGTCTGTGGTGCCAGAGAAGA